AGAATTGATGCTTTTGAACTGTGGTGTTGGAGAAGACTCTTGAGAGTCCCTTGGACTGCAAGGAGATCCAACCAGTCCATCCTAAAGGAAATCAGTCCTGAATATTCATTGGAAGGACTGATGCTAAAGCTGATACTCCAATACTTTGGCCACCTGATATGAAGAACGGACTCCTTGGAAAAGACCATAATGCTAGGTAAGATTGAAGGTGGGAGGAGAAGGGGATGACAGAGGGTGAGATGGTTAGATGGCATCACTGACTCAATGGACATGAGTTTGAGCAAGCTCTGGAAGTTGGTGATGGACAGGGAGGCCTGGTGTGCTGCAGTCCACAGGGTTGCAAAGAGTCAGACACAATTGAGCAACTCAACTGAACTGGGTGGACAGACGCTCTAGAAGTCGATCTTCAACGCCCACTCTCTGTGCTGCTTTGACTGACATTCTCAGCCTGTGTCATCCTGGGCTTGATGGCAACGCGGTCAGGCAAGACCTGCTGTCAGACGAATGTCACTAAGGCTGACCTGTAAGCCCGGCCTCCTCAAAGCTGCTTCACTGAACCTTAGATGCCACCCCACTCTTTTCTCAAAATGTCCTGTTCTGGAAACATGTACCATTCATTCAGTAGAATTATGAGAATGTTGAAAATTTCGTTTCTTTGTGGTTTGTTAAGGCTGAGATGAATGCACATCCATCCCAGGAACTGGGAACGTGGAGGGACGGGGAGGGTCGGGGAGTGTCCTTGGAACAGAGACTGCGGGTGGCACGCCCTCTCCCTGTTCTTGTCCCCAGGGCTTCCTCCCGTCAGCTGGGATCGTGCGCATACGTCACTCTGCACACTGCTGCTGTGGCTTACTGTTGGGACACGCTACTATGACTTCCCAGAAATCCAGCTTGTGATGGGGAGCCACGTAAGATCTCAGCGCACGCACCATCCTTTCAACTCCCTGCTTCCGCCTCTGCTGGATGCTTACGACACTTCTAATTTTCCGCGAATAATGCAGTCACCATGTGGTGCCTGATGCTGAACTTCGGGCTGGCCCCTCAGAAGCCATATGCCTAGAGGCAGCATGACAAAGCCAAGCGTGAACTGCAGTTAAAGGCTCTGATCCCATTCTGCCAAATTGCTTTCCGGAGAGACACTCATTGACACTCTCACCCTGGGCAATTTTGTCTCAACAGCCCTCCCCTCCTCTGGGGCTCGAGCTCCGTTTTTCTCAGGCAGTAGATGTGAGCAGGAAGCATGACTTTCTAATGCAAACAGGTGATGCCCTAAACTCTGAAGGAAATTCTGCACCATAAGAAGAACTGCACAAAAATGAAAATAAAATCCAACCATCACTGAGCAGTCTCACTGTCAGCTCTTTCTAAAAGATTTTCTGGGTGGGCAGGTCCCTTTCTCACAATTCAACAGACTAACGAAAAACTAATGTCAAAACCAACAGCAAGTGCCCAGGAAACAGCGGAGGCTACTGAGGGCCAGGGAGCCAAGCCCTTGCCCAACGTCGTGTGGCCTTTTGGTGGTGATGCTCCCCACCACCCAGCCCAGGACCGGAGCTGCCTGAGGACACCCCAGTAAATATCTGCCGAGGGACCCGGGGACACCTATGGGTCCCCAGAGCTGGAGCGGTGCTGAACACAGTGTCCCTCATGGGATCTTTACTGGGACGTCTGATTCCAGCCAAGATGGAGTGACAGGAATGAAAACTACCTCCTCAAATGATAAATATGGAAACAAGACAAGGATTCTCCAGACACTGGACATCAGGCAATGCGTGATCCCAGCGAGAAGAAAAACAGATGAGGCGGGAGCTGTGACCGCCCAGCTCACTGCCTGGAGGGAATTCTCGGGTCCTGGCACAGACAGAGGGGACCAGGTGGGACCCAGCAAACGCCCTGGTTGAAGAGACAGAACCGAGAGTCTGGGGAGGCCAAGGCCAGCAGAATCCAGAGGACAGAGTAGTGGAGATGAGCGAGCTGCCCAGGGAGACGGCCGTGGGGAGGACCCTGAGTGTCCAGCTGGGCACAGGGCCCACGGGGCAGAAATGCTCACAGAGCACAGGGCACTGAGTCCGTAGCCAGGGGTACTCAGTAGCAACACTTCTTAGCCCCAGACTGAACAGAGCTCTGATCCTGCGTGACATCTTAAAAAAAAAAAAGGATCCAACCATTTACAAGCAACCAAACTGTATTACAAAATAAAGCTCCAAAAGCTTAACAGGAAAACAAAAATATTCTGCTACCAGCAAGGTAGAAGTCCCACTCCCAGGCAGTCAATAAAAAAAATGACCAGGCTTGTAAAGAATTAGGAAAATGTGACCCCCAGGGCTCCCCCCCGGGAAGCAGAACCAGGCTGGGCTGGTGCTGTCCTGCGGGCTCTGACAGATGCCCCCGTTGAGTGGAGGGCACCTGGTGTGATGGCACCTGGGAAGCCTGAGGCGCCCCAGGCAAGGGGCCGAGCCCCTGCCCACGGCTGAGAAAGTCGTGGCCTCTGGGCGCTTGGTGGGGGGCGTCCACATGCTCCGGGAACTGACGCACAGATGCTGGGAACATCAGGGGCGGGGAAGAAGCCAGCAGGAAGAGCAAGTGCGTGCCTGCTCAGTCGTGTCCGACTCTGCGGCCCCCTGGACTGCAGGCCGCCAGGCTCCACTGTCCGCGGGATTCTCCAGGCAAGAAGACTGCAGTGGGTTGCCATCCCCTCCTGCAGGGGACCTTCCCGACCCAGGGATCGAACCTGCATCTCCTGCATTGGCATATGGATTCCTCACCACTGAGCGCCCTGGACTGGAGACCAGCTAAACCCGGGAAGCCTCTCTCCAAATCCCTCCCTGACTGCAGTGGCCTGTGAGACACCCACCCCGTCCCCCCCAAGCCTGCCTGCCCCCCGTGGCATCATCTGCCTTCTGCAGAGGGACACCTCTGTGGGTAAGCACCGCGGAACGAAGGAGGGAATGAACCAGCGGCCCTGTGACAGACAGAACGTGAGACCTCGATGAAAACTAGAAAGGGCAAAATGCCTGTTTCAGGAGAGACTTTAGAGATGAAAATCACTTCCCACTGTGACCAGCTGAGCTTCACAGGAATTCACCGCCGCAGGAGCCCCTGACAACCGCAGGCGCCCCAGTAACGGGCCAGTTACATGTGACCCTGCCGAGCCTCTCTGAAGAAACGGCTGGCACAGGGAGCCTCACTTCGGCGGCTCTTCCAAGTCCTTTTTCCTGAGCGGGCAGCTGAGTATGGAGCCAGGAGCCGGGGGGCCTCAGCCACACTTGGGGCCATGCGGTTGTGCAGAGAGCGGTCCTCCCAGCGGGCATGACTGCCGTCCTCCGAGAGGCCCACGTGCGGGGCTGGCCCTGGGCTGGCGGCCAGGAGCTGGGGTGTCGGCAGGGCCCCCAGCACCCCCACCGATGGGGGCTCCCCGTGCCTCCCTGCTGTGTCTGCGCTCACACCCTTCTCCCTGGGGCTGGATTGAGTGTCTGCCCCGCAGAGGGGCCCTCGGGGCCGGCCCCCAGTAAGAACCCCAGCTCTGAGTCTGTGACGGGCTTCCCTGGGGACACGTGTCTCTGTGGGTCTGTGTGTGCCCTCGGGACGGGGTTCTGGAAGCTGGCGCCCGTCTGCCCTGGACCCCACCCCCCTCACCCACCGGACCTTCTCCCATCGCTAGTTCTGCTTCACAGCTTCTTGCTGTGACGGATCAGAGCCGACAGGATGAATGAGTCCTGCCTGTCCTGCTGGAACCCGGGGTGGCCTTGGGGACCCCGACACAGAGGTTCTCCGGGAACATGAGACGTGAAAGGTTCTGGTGTTGCCGTGTGAGTGTAAGGTACTTTAGGTGATTTTTATGACTTTTCTCCACCTTTTTAAAGCTGCTTCGCCTGCATCAAGTCCCAGGGCAGATCTCCCTCTCTGCTTTTCCTGCTGAGGCTCTGCTAGGCACCAGATAAGTTTCAGCCACTCGGTCGGTCTGTGTATCATGCAGTGAGCAGGCCCGGGAGGGCTTGGGATCAAAGAGTCCCAGGGAGCAAGAACCCCCCCCCCCCCCCCCCCAGGAGAGCAGGGCTAGGTGGGGAGGGGCAGAGAGCGGCCTCCTTGCCGGCAGGGCTCAGTGAGCAGCAGGAACCAGGCAGGTAGGAGACCCTTGTGGCCCCCCAGGCCCTGGCCCCTCCTGAGAGATGACAGAGGAGGGTGCACTCCTCCCGTCAGAACCCTGGTGCTTGAAACCCTTGGCGGGACCCTACCCGCCCTGTGATCTCAGACGCACACCCAAGCCCCCACCTCCCCGAGTGGAGAGGCACAGGCTGGCGGGCTGAGAAGGCTCTGGAACTCGGCGAATGACCCAGCCCACTGTCGCTCGACAGAAGTTGTTTGGCTAGTGAAGCTGTGATTGCTGGGCCGCAGGAATTCCCAGCAGGGTGGTCTGGACCATGCATCGGGGAGGTCGCCACCTGCCAGCTCTGGGGCAGCCCCCCGCAGGCCCACCCCCTTCTCCGCTGGCCCTCCGTCCCCCCATTCCCCTGGAGGGGGCCCGTGAGCCCACCCCTTCTCACCAGCTCTGCCCCCCCAGCTGGGCTCCCCTCCGGCCCCTCCGCCCGCCCGCCCCTCACCTGGCAGGAGCGGAACTGGCTGACAAGCAGCGTGCAGCGCTGCGGGTCCTTCCGCCCGTCCAGGCTGTCCAGCTCGGCGGCCACCTGGCTCAGCTCCTCGTCCGCATGGTAGAACTGCGCCAGCAGCTGTGGGTCCGACCGCTGTGGGGAGAGCAGAGTGAGCAGAACCCCCAGCTGTGGCCCCCCAACCCGAACGGCCCCCGCCGCCCCGGCGGGGGGGAGGGGGGGGTGACCACAGACAGGGGCTGGGGAGTGCTGGGGGCCGAGGACAGTGGACTCACTCTTAGGAAGGAGCTTTACTCCGGAGACTAAGCCGAGGCCATAAAGGCAGCGGCTGAAGAGAGGGCCGCTCTGCTGCCCGGGCCCCCCAGCCCGCAGCCCAGCTTCCACGATGCCAGGGGGAGCGGGGCTTCGGCGCGGCACACCCTCCTCTCAGAGGCTCAGCTCCCACGGAACCCCCAGGGGGCCCTTCCGACCCTGGGTCTCGACGCGCCTCCGTCCGGCCTGCAGGTCCCCTGCCCGCCCCCAGCTCTAGCCCAGCGGTCACACCGTGTGTCCTGTCCACACACTTCCGGCCACCACAGGCCTCCACGTGGTCTCCCTCTGGCCCCTCGATCTGAGTGCAGGGTGAGGACACGCCCACGGGAGGGGGGCGGCACCCTCGAGCGCGTCTCACACGCGGGCAGAGACGGAGCGAAGGTGATAACAGGCCAGCCCCTGCTCCCTCCTCCTCCCGCCTGGGAGGCAGCCCAGCCGTGACCACGCCCTGCAGTCTGCCGAACACAAGGTAACTTATTTTTGTGATTTCTCAGCTCACAGCTCAGCTCATGGAGCCTGAGTTTCGCCCCTCCCCCAGGGTCGCCCGTTCCGGATGGATTGTCCTCTGAGCAGGGGTCTTGGATCATGGGGAGGACCCCCCGGGGACTTTTCACAGGAGATTGGAGATTCACCCCCCCACCCCCTACCCAGCAAATGCACCTGAGCACCCACTGCTGAGAATGCAGAACCAGGGCAAGCTAGACCCCACCCTGCGGGCCCCCGGCATCCATGACTCCCGGGTCCCCTCCATGGGCTCGGCTGACTCCCCCAGGATGCCCACCAGTGACCCCTCTATGACGAGAGGGGAACCAGGGTGGGGTCAGCGGTGGCAGTACGTTTCTGCCCCCTTCCTTGTGCTGACCGAAAGGAGAGGGGCTGGAAGGCGGGCAGCCGCCCGGACGGTGCCATCACACACGCTCCCCACCACCCTGGCCTCAAGGCCCTCGGGGCACCCATCCCTCCATTACGGCCCATCTGGACCCACTTCCCACCCCGAGGCCTCCTCCTGGTTTCAGAAGCTGGGGGGCAGGGGGAGACACCCTTGCCCTCTGAACCCCAGCCAGGGTTTAACCTGGCACCTCCAGGGCGTGGCAGACTCCCACATGAGGGAGAAGGCAGAAGGCAGCTGGAGAGGGCCGCCCGCTCAGGAAAAGGCAGGGAAGAAAACGATAGCACAGTATCGGGGGACCCCAACCAGCACCCCCCAGACTGGGTGGGCCACACACCTCTGTGACCATGAGCAACAAACAGCCTCCAAACTGGCCTTCCCCTCCCTGGGGACACGGCCCGGGCGGAGCGGAACCTGTCTCCTGGGAGTGGAAGGACCAAGACGGACCCTTTGGGCTCACGGCACTTTGCTTCCAGTATAGCAAAGAGCTTAAGACCAGAGCTACGAGCATGTTGACCGTCACCAAAAATAGATGTGTACAACACACACACATGTGCACACGTGCACGCATTGAAGAAACCAGAGAATTCAGAAAAAATTTTTAAAGCTGGCAATTATCTTTATTTTGTTGAAATACAGAAGGCCTGTGTGATTTTAAAATTTTAGTTATATTCCGAGATAGCTTTCCGGCCCCCTCGGAAGGAATGATTTCCAACAAGGAATCACGATTCTCCTCTGTGGACTTCCCTGGTGGCCCAGTGGTTAGGACGCCCCGCTTCCAGCACAGGGCACGGGTCCGATCCCTGGTCAGGGAGCTGAGATCCCGCAGGCCGTGACACACAGCCAGAACTGAAGAGATGGAAAGAGTTCCTGGGGGGCTCAGGGTGCCAAGGTGCGGCAGGAGAATCTTGCCAGTGGTGTCAGATCCCCACCGGGAGACCCAGACGCTGTGAAGACGAAACTTCCAGGCAAGGGTCCAGGAAATGAATGAACACAACTTCAACGATTCAATTTGCGCTGATCAACAGGATCCAAAAGAACATTTTGGTGCCACGTTTCCATTTCCAAGTATGCAGAGAACAAAGCAAACACAGCAATCTCTAGCCTGGCTCATCACTCAGACCTAAATCGGTCCAGCAGGGCAGGGTCACCCTCAGGCCAGCGTGGAGGCGGGACCGTGGACTGCAGGGAGACAGAAGAGGACAGACTGCTGCTGTCTGCGACTCGGATCAGCCGGCCTCATTCAACAACGTTTAACATTACATTTTAAATGAGACTTTCAAATGTCCCTGAGTAAAATGTCCACGGCAAAGAGAATCAATTGATACGGACAGGAAGAAGTACTCACCCTACCTTGAAATAAAAACCATGAGAGAATAAAATAGAGCCCAGTAAGGATGTCTTTTTGGCACACAATGTCAATATTTTCTCAAAATAAATCCATAGCAGTGACAGTTTTCACTGTTACAGGACAAAAATAAAATTCACGAAGATAGCACTTAGGCCGTTAGATGAGTAGTGAATAAGCAGCCTCCAAGAAGGCAAGAGAAAACACACAAAAACACAGCAGTGACTGAGTAAGTCCAAAGCGCCGAAGCTGACAATTCAGAACCGATTCTGTGAAGCTGATGGAATTATCCATCATGCAAACACCTGCTCTGTGATGCAGGCTGGGGGTGTGGGATGCAGACGTGGATGCCCGGCTGTGTGTGAGCTGAGGCCTGCCCTCAAGTGCCCGTCTGAGCCAGGCGTGTGACGATGCTGGAGGGACCCAAGTTTCGTGAGGCTGGCCAGCTGGGCTGGGGCAGAATGTGGCGGGAACCATGAGTGCCCCCAGCCCTGGGCAGTGCACCGGTTTTGTCCCAGTAGGTACCACCAGGCCCCTCGGTGAGGTGGCCCGATACTGACCCAGATGAAGAAAACTCACAGCTAAGGTCACATCAGTGGGCACGGCAGAGTCGGCGGTCAGCCCGGGTCTCACTCTAAGGACCCTCGGGGGTCCGCCTGGGAAAGAGGAGGAGGTTAAGAGTAACCAGGACAGGATCCATGACTCTTGCTTCCCAAGTAGGAAGCAAACGGGGCAGCAGGAAAACCTTAGAAGGATGCCTGGTCACCGCAGCACGGTCTCAGCCAAGCTCCAAGGAGGGGAGAGAAGAGGAGGCAGATGGCAGGACAGGTGGGCAGGACAGATGGCAGGACAGGCAGCGTGGCCAGGACGGAAAGGACCAGCCCCCTCGCGCCCCCAGCGCAAGCCCGGCGATGGAGAGCAGCCAGCCCCCGCCCCCTGCCCGCCCCCCAGCAGCTGCCCAGGACAGGAGCTGGGCTCCGAACCCTGGTTCCCAAGACCACACCCCATGGGACCCCAACACCCTCCCGCTGGGCAGAGGAGAGCCTTCCAGATCTCGGTGGCTCCCCAGGTGGTGGACAGGCGGCAGGCAGAGCAGGAGTGAGGGCTGGTGGGGCCGGCCCAGGCCTGAGCCTCTCCTGGACAAGCCCCCCAGCAAAGCCTCAGACCCCGCTCTGCCAAGCCTGAACACAGCGTAGCCGAGAAACCAGAGAAGACCCTGGTCGTGCACAGAGTCTGGCTGCTCCCCGAGCAGGGCCTCCCGCAGCCCACTGGCCCTCAGGCCCTGGGCTCAGGGGAAGATGCCCAGGCCACACAAGACTGTCAGGGAAACCCACTGACCACAGGCCACCAGGACCAGAAACCCTTCACTGCCTCCAAACAAACACCGAGCCAGGCCCTCCTGCAGGTCTCCACCACATCCTTCCGTCCCCGGGGCCTGGGGGTGCCGGGCAGCCGTGACCCCGATCCTCAAGGCTGGCCTGGTCCACACCAGCGCATCAGGGCCCCAGCGCTGACCTGGCCGCATCACCCGTCGCCCGTCAGTGCATTGGAGCCCCAGACAGGCACACACTGCTGTCGTTCCAAGGTGGCAGCCTTGCCTTTGCTGGATACCCTGCGCCCACCCCCACCCAGCTGCCTGCCTTCCCATCCAGGCTCCTCCGCCAGGGCCTCGAGGCTGCCCCTCCGGTCCCTGCTCACTCTCAGGACCCAGGAACCTGGGGTAAGTAAGGTCACCTCCAGTACAGACCGGCCTGCTGCAGTCCCCGGGGTCACAGAGGCGGACATGACCGAGCGACTGAATAGCAAGAGAACCTTCCTATGCAGAGCTGACCGCCGACCACCCTACGGCAAGCCCAGGCCTGTGCGGCCTCCTAGATGGTCTGCTGAACGCATGCCCTGAAAGCTTTCGATTCCAGGACCAGTTTAGACACCCAGTGAGCTGCTTCCCCGCCCCTGCTGTCTCTCCAGACTGTGGTCCCCCCAGCCGAGCTGGTCTCAGCTGCCGCGAAAGCCACAGCCAGCTCGGAGGGGCAGTGGCCCCGCCGAGGGTCACTCCGGAGGGCAGCCCGCCTCAGGAGAACCCCCGCGGAGGGTCCCTGCCCATGCAGCACAGTGAAGGCCCCTGGGTAACGCCGACCCCCACCACGGGAGGACCCGCTCCAGAGAAGCAGGCCCCTGCCCTGGAGAAGGCTGGTCTGGTCCCGCAAGGGTGAGGTGGCCCCGTCGGGCTGGACACCCTCCTTCCAGGGACAGCTGGGCTCGGCGCCCTGTGACACCCCAGGTGACCACACGGGCCTTGGCTGCGGCACGTGCAGACACGATGCCTGGAGATAGCTGAGCATCTCGAGAAGGGTTTTCAGAAGGAGAATGCATTCTCAGATAAAACTCTCAGTCGAGTGTTGTATATATATACAGATGGCACACGGAGAACACTCGTTGCAGGAAATTTAACTGCAGCAGCTGCAGCGGGTCATAAAGAAGCTCTTCCGTAACCGCAGAGGAAAGGAGCCCAGGCTGGCGACCGCCCTGGGGGGCGGGGGGGGGGTCACTGTGGCACCAATGGGAACAAACGGTGACTGA